CGAACCAGCGTTTCTGGCTGTTGTGGTTTTTCTAGGCAAGTTTAGGTTCAGCAGTTTGCCATTGCTTCCTGGACGGTCGGCCTCTCGATACCATTGTCGAAACCAACGCAAGGCGCAAAGCTAGAAGCTGGGATCTAACCCTGCACATCGGCATGACGAAGCGCGTTCACAACGCCTAAGCCACAGACGCCGACTTACATAATATATACAAATAGTAAAAAGAATAGATCCATTGCCTCCGTCAGACGCATGTCGTAGGAGTCAACTAATGAGAGGTTTCTTTCGAGTCCAGAAGCGGACGAACATACAGTACCTTCCGCTGGAATTTATAGTCGGTGAACGCGAAGAAGAAGAAGGACCCACTAAGGACGCTCGCAGTGGAGAATGGAGAAAGTGAAGCAACAAGGACATTCACAACATATTTAAATCCCCACTGTTTACTGGGCAGATTGTGATGATTGGGACATATATATGGAGATAACAGAAACAAAAACTGCAGTCGCAAAAGAGTTAAACTGAAGCAGACCGAGAGGTATATCAAGAAGACTGTGGAGACATACAGGCAGACATGTGAAGATACCAAATGGAAATATAAAGCGAATCACTGAAATGATAGTGGCGGATGATTTCTGCAGCAATGAACCTCAAGGGCTGAGAATGCTGAAGAATAATAATTTTAGCGAGAGTTCATTGGTCTGCTAAATGGTTGGACTGCTAGTCACTTTTGATTTAGACCAGGGTTTGGTAAGGTGATGAATGTTGCTTCTTTCGAATGAGGGTTGGTTGAGAAAAATTAAAAATCTTAACATAAACATTTCGTTTATGCGCTAGCCAGTCACCCGTCCCCCTCCCCCACCCCTAATCACTCACACCAGTCTACACTACCCTATACAGTAGTAAATGCAGACAGGAAAGACAGTTTGTTGTATTACTTTAAAATTGTTCAACGGATATACAATTAGACAGTTACTGGTACCATCAGAATTGGAACTCTTGGCTTGCTCCTGAAGATGGGGACGGAGCGCTTGATGGGAGTGTCCCGAGTGCTATGATGTTGATTCTTATCTCAACATTCAAATTGTTCAGAAGTGAGATTAAAAAGTAACCAAAAACAATTTCCATATATTTATTGAAGGAATAGTCTCGATTTGATCTTGATTAAATACGCGAGATTGAACTTAAGACCGCAGCTTCAATTATAAACGGTTTTGTTATTCGCGCATAAAGTGGATTGTTTATGGTGTTTGTCTTTTCTGATTGTTTTCAAACTCCCAGTAAGCCCTCATAATTACAGATTCAACATCAACAATACACTTCAGCTATTTGAATATATTTACATATATACAAGCGATCAGGTAATTGATATGTTTTTCTATTATGCAAGAATCAATTATTCTCCAAGGCCTCCAAAACTTATTCACTTTTACCCTCGTAGCTCTTAAAAGGCTACGCCAGTGTAGTTCCTAGTCCCACTCTCTTCTTCTTCTTCAGCTACAATCCCGCAGGCAACTCCTTCTTTATTACAACAAAAACCATGAACTGCAAGTGACGTCCCCCCCCCCCCCTCCCCCCCGCCTCCTCCCACCATATTTAACAACATCAAGAACTGTTACTAATTCTACTATTACTGCTGTTGCTCCCACTACTACTGCTGCTTGCTTGCTTTTACCCCACCGGGAAATCTCACAAGTGATTAACACCAGGTGACACAAAGTACCACCATGCGGATGAGGATCACCCGTAGAAATGTCACAGAAACCCCTTTCAGCCGTTATGGCCACAATTGTGGCCCATCTATATTCAGGGCCCCCGGCAAAAGCCAGGGTGGGTTTTCAAATAACGAAAAATTGCATCCCACAATGGGATGACATTAATTGCCACTACTGCTGCTACTGCAACTGCCATTTGTACGTCTGGTTCTGTTGTTGCTACCACAAGTAGGCTTCTACTAGTATTGTCGATGTTGTTGCTTATCTGTGGCTTATTCGTCTTGCTTTGAACATCACCACATATAACAAAGCAACAACAACAACAAGAATAACAACAACACATCTGCTGCTGCTGCTGCTAGTACTACTGCTGCTGCTGCTACTACTACTGCTACTGCTACTGCTACTGCTACTACTACTACTACTACTACTACTACTACTACTACTACTACTACTACTACTACTACTACTACTACTACTACTATTGCAGCCGTTGCTGCTGCCGTTGCTTATTCGACATGTTTGAAAGTCAGTGCGTCTATCTGTTACACACACACACGCACGCACACGTACCCACACACACACACACACATAGAGAGAGAGAGAGAGAGAGAGAGAGAGAGAGAGAGAGAGGCGTATGATGTTTATAGTTCACCACCTACTGTGAAAAAATCAATGGTACCAAAAAAGGAAACAAATTAACTAATAAACATACGTGAGGTATTTATTGATCAAATTTTAATTGGCTGTTCCTTTCTATATGTACAGCAGTATTATAATTTTGTTTTTCAATCACAATAACTCACACTAGATTGTATTAATTGTATTAGTTACGTCTGCAGAAGCTTGACAATCTCTTCTTCGGGATATTACTGATAACAATGTGTCATGCCAATAAACGTTAACGGCTGTTGACTATTCACACATCGTCATTAGTTTCAGAACAGATGAAGCCAATTATCTCATATGGATGGGGCTTGCAAAATTGAACTCCAGGGCTGCCGAAGTTGGTACATTCGTACACATTTGGTACGATTTGACCCTTCGCAAGGACAGCGGTAAAACGCACATTTTTTTTTTTTTTAGA